TCTGACACCTCACAAGATCCAAGGGAGAAAATGGAGCCAATAAATGCAATCTACAGATAAAATTTGCAGAGGCAATTTAGGAAAAAAGTAATTATCCTTCTTGGAATTTTACCATTTCACAAAAGTTATTGCCTTACCTCTTAAAGTTTTGAGAGATTATACTGATCACTCAAGATTTTTCTTTTAAACGCTTGTTTTAGGAAAGGCTTATTTCACCAGAAGTTATCCTAAAGTACCATAATCATCATTATCATTTTAAAATTTGATCAAGTAAACATAGGAGCACACACATATATGTATGCATAGTCTTAAATACATATGAAAATTATTCTTTGTCCTCCTTTATCCACCAATTAACAAAATGTATATAATTGGCTATAGGCACAGTGCTAGAGATATAACATAGAACATGAAATAGTCACCTCTTTGCCCTCAAAGAGATTAATGCCCAGTGGGAACAGATCATTGTAAAAAAAATAATCACAAAAACAATTACTTACTTACAAACTGGAAGAAAAATTATGAAGGAGATGCAAAAATGTGATGGGAGATTCAAATGGTTTTCAAAGGTAATGGAAAGCTTTTCTAAGCAACTGATATTCAATTGGAACCTGAGACATAAGTGAATTAGGCAAAGTGTGGTGCTTGTAGGAAAATTCAGGCAGAGGAACAGCAAGTGCAAAGGCACTGAGGCCAGAAAGAACAGCAAGCTTTGGAGGCGTGTTGCAAATAGGCCTCTGTGCATGAAACACAGAGAGTGAGGGATGAAGCATAGTGAGACAGGCTGGATGTAGGCACAGCCTAGCCCTTCACAGGATATGTTTCAATATGCAGTGAAGCACGGATGACTGGGTTAGATTCACATTTCAAAAGGACTCCTCTGACTGCTGTATGTGGCAAGATAATTGGAGGGAGTAAGAGTCCAGGTAGAAAGCTTTGCTATGGTCAAAGCAAAGAAACCATGAAGGCTTGGATTTGGGTGGTACTTACTGAAGAGGGATAAAAGGAGACTGCAGCCAAAGTGACAGGACTTGGGAATGGATTAGATGTAGAATAGGAAGGGTCAAAGATGGTTGTCAGAGTAGGTAATTAGTAATTAGTTCAATCAATTAGTAATTGATTGAAAGAAAATGGTACTATCAGAACTAGGCTTTTTATATTCATCCTATTCTATTTAGATTAATTTTATGCACAACTATTTCGTGCTTACTAGGTGCAAAGTATGGTGCTGGCATTCTAATGGATAGCGATATGAAAAAAGTAGATAAAAGTATACAGAATCTCTGCCTTTTAACACACACAAATAAATATGGCTGTATACATTCATGTATGTCTATCTATGTCTATGTGTATGTGCACATATATACATGTCTATAGAAATTTGAGGTATCTGCAACACATACACATCTGAATTAACTACATGTTGCAAGGTGACTGAGGATAAAGATACATAATCAGTGTGGAGGTCAGGAAGAGAAACCAAAACATTGCATGACATTGTGTTCTTGTAATAAAAGAAACTAAAATGTTTCAAAACTATTAAGTCTTAATACAATCAGCAGAGTAATCTTATCATTAACATGATATATAATAATAATAGCAGTAATCACTGGTATGTAGCAATTAAAAAATTTTTTTAAATCACAAGCAGAAAAACATAAAGATAGATTTCATTTAACTTAATTTGAAGGTTATCTTTTTAGTATTTTTCTTTGGATTCTAAACACAATTTTGTCATCAAACTTAACTTTCTTCACAGCAGACAGAAAATGATTAATTAGTAATTCTGTTAAATATTTGCCAAATGTAATAGAGGACATCATTTCCATTTCTGCCAGGGCATCTAGTTTGTCAGAAGCCCTTTGTTTCACAAAGTCAACTTGCATGTTGATTCTAAGAGTCTAACTAAACATACAGGGCAATTGCTCATCTGTGAATTCTTAAGGCTCCTTTTATCTCACTTTCCTCACACGAGAGTCTTTGCTTGTTTCAATTTTGTGTGTATTCCTTTTGAGAGCTTGTTAATGTCTCCTATTTACAGTATGTGAGAGTATTATCTAATCTCTTAAGATAGTATATAATGGTTTGCCAATACTATAATTGTACAGATGGTGGAATATGCTTGAAATCACTAGAGGTGAATTTACCATGAAGAAAATGAGGCTTACTCTTCAGGGCCTCTCACTTCCAAGGTTCCCTTTAACATTCTTGGACCTGAATTTGTATTTTTAGTTTTATGTTCTTTTCCTTTAAAAGGATTCTCCAAATTTTATGAGTTCCAGAAAACTTATCTGGTCCTGTTTTTCATTTGTATTGTAATAATTAATTTGTTTTTATGTCTTTCTCACCCTATCTTAGCTTCTTGAGAACAGGGGCAATTTTTTTTCTTCTGCTCCTCTACCCTCTATCATTTAGTTGAGTAAATCCTTCATGAATGAATGAATAAGCCGTGTACTTTTAGTGGTTGTTTTGAGGCTGGCTCTGGTGAGCGAGATTTCCTTTTGCATTTGTGCATCTTCATTGATGCCAACTTTGTTGCAAAGTTTTAAAAAACCTGATCTTTATATAAATCATCTTAAACTAGTTTATTTTTGAAAGGCTAAAATTATCTATTTGCAGAATTCTAAATTAAATTCCCATTGCTATCAATATACACAATATTTTGCAAACATGCAGTCTATCTTCACATGTTAATGTTTTTTCCTTTTTTTTTTCTTTTTAAAATTTTCTTGGAGTATTTTTCAGATGGGAATTACTGAGAGAAACGGTATATTTGGCCAGCTTTGTAGATTCTAAGAATGCATCTAAAAGTTAAGTCTAGCCAAAGAAAAATGTTATGGTGCATGATTGCATTTATGTTAAGCTGTCATTTAATATGAGATCTCCATCTTGTCTTTCCTTCTTTCTCAAGTTGCTTATTTTTAATCTCCACTCAATTTTTCAGGGGTTGACATATGTTGACAGGTTGACATATGGTACCTGAGAGTTGATATACCCTCTATAATACAAACTCCTAAGAGGTGAACAATATATAACAAATTAATAAAATTATAGCATGAAGACATATCATCATTTCTAAATTTGACCACTGAGGTTCATACGTTGATTTTCAAGAAAGCAAAAATATTCTTCCTCATTTCTCTATCGCTTGTTCTGATCATTTCCAAGGTTTTTCAAAAATTCAAAAAAAACATTTCATTTGCCACTTCCTGATCACAGAGATGAATAATTTAAGGACACCCTCAAATTGGGTTTTACTACTGGTTTCCTGGGGTGTTTTTTTTTTTTTTTGAAGGTATGCTTCTTTTGGTGAGGAAGATTGGCCCTGAGAAAACATCTGTTGCCAATTTTCCTCTTTTTTTTTTTTCCTCCCCAAAGCCCCAGTGCGTAGCTGTATCTCCTAGTTGCAAGTCCTTCTAGTTCTTCTATGTGGGATGCCACCACAGCATGCCTTGATGAGTGGTATGTGTAGGTCCACAGGCAGGATCCAAACCTGGGAACCCCGAGCCACGGAAGCAGAACTCGGGAACTTAACCACTACACCACCAGGCCAGCCCTGGTGTCCTGTTTTATGTGGGAAGATCTGAAACTTTTTTTAAAATTCCAAAATACATTTTTGCATTATATCCTTCAATTCTAAAAGAATGATATGTCTAGTAACATGTAGCTATTGTATATACGCCCTTGCAGGGTCTCATGTCCTGGAGATAAAGTATCCTTTTTGCAAGGGCTCCCCTTTCCTGAATTTTGCTGTTTCCTGCTTGTTGAGTAGCAGTCCCTCCTGGGAAAGCAGAGTTATTTCAGCCTATGCTTAGACTCCAGTTTCCATTAGACTCTGTGGAATATTATAGGGCTATTCAGATAGATTCATACTCTTTTCCCCAATTTTGCTGTTTTTCTGGCCCAGTAAAATTTCTATTTGGTGTTTGTTGGAAGGCTATCAGAAGATATTTGGACATCAAACTTTTTCAAAAGAAATAATGACGGCAATATGCTAAGATATCTTTCAACAACTAAAGCCAGTCAACAGTTAGGTTCTTATTACAATGCAAATTAAATAAGAATAAAATTATTCTTGTTTTCGGCCAGTTTTAAAATGAGTACTTTTGCCCCCTCCCTTCCCAGAGACAAAGCAAGGCAGCAGGCCAGATTTCACCTTTATTTAAACGTTGGCAATTAGAAAATCCACTAAGAAGGCTGCATGCAGGTCATGTTCAGTTATCATTAATCCCAGAGAACGGAAAATCAGGCACAAATCACTTTGAAGGAGGAGTAAGTAAATTTCATATATGGGTTGTTCATACTCGCCTCTTCCTGACCACAACTGAAGAGTCTATCACTGCAAATTAACGTTCCGTGTTAGCCACAGCTGTGATAGAAGTCTGAGAACGTTTTCTTTACCCGATTCTGGATCATTCCGTGGTGCCGATTTACTCTGGCCTTTAACTTTTGCCCTTTGCAGCAGGATGCCAACGGATTCTGGATTTCACTGCTCTTTAGAATTCTCCACCAGAGGGAGGACAAGGGAAGAAGAAGGTTTCACTCGCAGTTCTGAGGAAAGTTTGGACCCGGAAAGCTAGCATTAACGAACTAAGAACTAAGCATCTCTACCACTGTCTCCGTTCTACTCTCCCGACCTGCGTTCTCACTCAGCAGAAACTGAGTGACTCCCAGCTATTGCCGTAATTTTATTGTCGATAGCCTTTTAAGCAGTTCCTTTGAAAATTAAGTTGTAGCGAGAGATACAGTTTAGGACACCCCCTTTGAAGAGGCCAGGTTATTATTTATTTTAGGAAAAGCTGAAGATGAGAATTCTGGCACGTTGGTAACCACAGGAAGACAGGACACGCACAGTCAAGGAGCAGATCTATGAAGATGGTGCCATCTAACCATCTTTAAGTTTCACTGAGCCCTTCCTGGGTGCCCAGAACTGTCTTACACTCAAATTCCCTTCCATCCAGAGTTAATCATTGCCCTACAGGCCGGGGGGGGGGGGGGGGGGGGACGGGACGGTTTTCACTAAAGTAAGAAAGGAACGAACCCTAAACTCTAATGGGAAAACGGCAAACGTTCCTCTCCTTTTCCCAGGTTCCAGAGCCTTAATTTGGCGGGCAGGTGTCAGAGTTGCAAACTTTTTTCTCCAACTTTTCCCCGCGTCAAAGAGAAGTGACCAGGTCTTCGGGGGCGCTGCCTGGCTGCGGAGGCAAGGGAGGAGCAAAGTCCCTGGGTCCACTCCTGGGTCTTTGAATCTCCCCGGGCCGCTCGGTTCGCGTCCCGCGGTTGCAGTGGCGGCGGCGGCGTCTCCGCGCAGCTTCCAGCGACCCCTGTCGGGGGTTCCGGCAGCCGCTCCGCTGCGCGCACCGCCCCCCGCCCAGCCGGGCTCGGGGAGGGAAAGGGGCTGCGCCCGGGAGCGCCGAGCCCAGGCTCCTCCCGGTGGCGTGTCCGCGCCTCGGGGTGGGGGTGTGGTGGGGAAGCGGGAGGGGGCGAGGCAAGGGGAGGGTGAGAAGGAGGCGCCAGGCTCAACCTGCGGGCGGGAGGGGGTGGCTGTGGGGCAATTGAAAAAGAGCCGGCGAGGAGTTCCCCAAAACTTGTCGGAACTCCGGGCTCGCGCGGAGGGCAGGAGCGGAGCGGCGGCGGCTGCCGGGCGATGGGAGTGCGGGCAGGGCTGTGATCGCCTCTCCTCCTTCGGGCTGCAAGCGCGCCGGACAGAGGCCACGACAGGAGCCGACAGCAGCGGGAACCCAGGACTTCCCTGAGCGACAGGAGCAGCCCCAGAGTCAGGGCGATCGCCTGACGGAGCGACCGCCAGTCCCAGGTGGCCCGGACAGCACGCCGCGTCCGCGCCGCTCCCCGCAGGCGACAGGAGACGCCCCCGCGCGGCGCGACTGCTGCAGCCGGGCCGCTCGCTCTCCCCCTCGAGGGACAAACTTTTCCCAAACCCGATCCAAGCCCTCGCACCAAACTTGTCGCGCGTCGCCTTCGCCGGAGCCGTCGGCGTCGAACGTGCACTTCTCGGGCGAGATGTCGGAGCGCAAAGAAGGCAGAGGCAAGGGGAAGGGCAAGAAGGAGCGAGGCTCCGGCAGGAAGCCCGCGCCCGCGGAAGGCGGCCCGAGCCCAGGTGAGTGCGCAGCGCGCCCGGGGCCGCGATCCTCCTTCTCCCCCGCGGCTGCCATCGCCTGTCCCTCGCCCGCCCGCGCCCTGCGCTCCGGGCGCCTGGCCCCGCTTCCGGGCGTCCGCGGCGCGGGGCGGCTCTCGTTCTCCGTGGGGCCGCCCCTCACCTGGCCGCCGAGCCCCACCCGGGCGCCCGCAGCCCGCGCGCAGGGAAAGGGGCGGTACCCCGGCCTGAGCCCTCCGAGGGTCGCGGACGCGCCGCGCTCCCTGGCACGGCCTTTCACCCGCGCCTCCCAGCTGAGCCCAGCCCGGGAGCGGGACCCGGAGTGCAGGAGCGGAGGCTGGGTGCGCGCGTGTCCGGCGCCGGGAGGGCTTTGCACAGGCCCCGTCTGCCCTCTAGCGAGAAAAGCGGGAACGGGTCTCCCCTCGGTGTGCCGGGCTCGGAAGAACCGGGTGGTCGAGAGAGAGGCCGCGTGAGCCATTGCGTGTCGTTGTTTGGGGCCGAGGGCAGGGCGGTGTAGGGTCGCGGGGTTGTGCGTACGTTCACCCCGATTCAGTCCTGCTGTATCGGAACTCACATCAGCTGAGAGGGATTCCTAGAGATCAGCGAAGCAGGTAAAATCTAGCCCAGTGCCAGGAGTCAGGTCTGTTCCAAATAAGTTCTCAAACTTTTGGCTTAGTAGTTCTATTTTTCAGGACCTCTCTGATAAATATGGTTAATTTATGCTCCCAAGAGGTGCCAGAAAGTAAAATTTTATCTGAATTTTTGAACCCAGATGCTTTCTAGTTATATAATAGAATGAAATGGCAGTTGAGGCTCTCTAGAGACAAGTCTTGTATTTGATAATCAGAACACGGACAGGAACGACAGTTTCACCTTAGATTTCCCTCAGAAGAACTGCGGCTTTAGACATTGTCTTGGACAGGGGAGGCATCCCAAATAAATACTCGTTTCTGAGAGACTGAGTGGAGAAGATGCTTTAAAATAGAGAGGAGGGGGACGAATAGAAGGACTTTTTTCCCCTGCCTCTGTAATTCCCAATTGTTAATTGATCCAGACGCCTCGAGTCACTTAGAGCACCCCCCCAAGATGTTTTATAAAGCACTTGGAAGAATTAATTCAATAGTACTTGGTCATCCTGTGGCTGAAGAAGATAAGCAAAGTATTTGCCGTTTTCTTTTAGGAAGAAAACAAGATTTGCCTAGTCCTCTTATTGGCATCACTGATAGCATTTCAGAGCCTGGCTTATTGGCAGGGACCTTTGAGCAAAACAGAAATGGAACAGAGGGTGATTGTTTGGCCACTGCCATGCCTGTGCATGCTTCCACGATAAGATGTTGTTGATCAGATTCACCTTAATTACCTTTTATTAGCCCTCATCAGGATGTATTTCAATTTTACTTACTTTTCTCCTGTGTTTTGTAGATACTATATAGCATTTTATTCAGTAAGGTATGGAATGGGGAGCTGGATTAGCGACCTCCCTAAGTGACTTTCTCTACTGTCCTTTCGAAGGTCATCATAGTAATTTAAAGAGACCTTAGACCCAACCCAAACTGTCAAGTTGTAAAGAGTTATTTGTGGGGCCCTTTAGGGGTTTCCTCTCCTGCCGGTGAATACTCTGCCTTCAGAAGTTTCTGTGGACCTCTGTAGGTGGTCTGATGAATTAAGAAGGGGGCAGCGGTTTGAAGTAGCGTCTCTTTCAAGTAACAGGTTTGCCTTTTGTCAGGGCTTCCTAGCAGCAGTGCCTTGACACAGACATTTCAGATAAGCAGGTAGTTTCAAGGAGGAGAGATTTAGGAGCAAGCAGGCGTTTCCGTGTCCGGTGGATCTTATCTGCTATGTGGGCAGCTGTGTTGGGACTACCTGATGTTCTCTCTTGACACAGAGTTCGAGAGCTTTCTTGGTGGCTCTCATTCTGCTTCCCAGTCCCACAGCCGTGGTTCCCTCTAAACCAGATAGATGGGCATTTTTAAGTGACGTACTCTCTCTTCCTAGAAAAATTGGGGTGAACTTGGCTCTGGGTTAGTTCTTAGTATGTTTGTCTCTCTTTTCCATCAGGTGGTAGTCTTCTTTGGGGAGGAACTTTTCAACCCCTCCAGGGCACTTGGCACTTGTGAAACCACATAAGCGATATAATATTTATTCTTCATTTGATTTGAAAAGAACTGTTAACCTGAAACCAGCTTCATAGAAAAGCACATGGCCTTACATAGGATTGCTTTGAAATCAGTATTTCTCTCCCTCTTCTCATTTTCCTTATGATGGTATGTTCCAGTGTGCTTTTCCTTATCTTAGGAGAATAAATAACTGATTGCCATGATGGTTTGTGGGAGAAACCCACAAGGGTGAAACTCTTTTTCAACTTTGCACTTTTTAGTTCTCAGGCATCCTAGGAGGAACGACCTCTAGATGCCACTTGCCATCCCAACCCAAATTAAGACTTAATTAGGATTTACAAGGACACCTATCTCTTAAATAGCTCCTGTGTTAGTGCCATTCAGTTCCAGGTTTCCCCCCTTTCTTAAAACAGCCACTGAAGCTGTGTGTCCTTGATCATACTCATGCAACAGCCGAGCCTCTCTTTGGATGTTACAACGTTACTTCATGATGGTCGGGGGAGATATAATGCTGAGAGAACTTAGCCTCTCAGCCCTGCTGTGTGCTGTATTATATGCAGAGGCATAAACACATCTGTTGGAGGGAAAGTTTCAAGGGAAAAAGGCTTCTTTAACTTTCATGTGACATGTGTGACTGATACGTGATACATACATGGCTATGTTTCATAGCATCCACATTTTTATACAATTAACTGAATATTGAATTGCACACTATTGGGGCTGCAGATGTTCAACAGAATTATCTGTTTCATAATAATGGCTCTAATAGGTCCTAAGCCCCTCGGGGTCATTGATTCCTCTTCTTTGCTCAAAATAAGCAACCTCAGCATAATCCTGGGCTTTGTAACATGGATCCATATACCAAGGGCCCTGTAACATCTTGGACCTCCTAGATGCTGGACCTCCCATATCTAGGTTCTTCATATTGATTCAGCTCAACAAACTTTTTCTATTGAAGCCTGAATTACAAAACCAGACCTTTTTTTTTTTTTCTGCTATTTGGTGTTTGGCTCTAAGCTTCCTTTATGAATCCCTGTTTGCATAAATGTTTTTCTTTCATTAAAACACTGCAAAGGATTCTTTTTTCTTTTTTTCCGTCTTAAATGACCTGGAACAAATTCATTATCAAGCTTAGCCCAGTTCTAGAACAATTGGATTTCCCTTCGCTTCTGGCAGAAGGGACATTTGTGAGTATAAGTGGTGGAAAAATTGAGAAACTTAGGCTCCCAAATGGGTAGAAGTGGGCCATGTGCTCCCTGGATGACATCACCCACCTGTTTCCTTAACTAAGTGGCTCCTCAGGCTGACGTGCTTGTAAACATTCTTGGATATAGAGTGCCCTGTCGCTGACGGGGCAGCATGTGTTTACAGAATGGAAGGAATGTCCAGTGATCTGTTTCAACCTGGTTGCTTGTAACCACTTACCTTATGTAATTATTAAAAACATTAAATATTGTTTACAGGATGAAATAGGACTTCTATTGAAGAATTATTTTGAAGCGGAAAAAGTGGGAGAAACTTGGGAAGCTGTTCTCATATCTGCAAAATGATAAAGTGATACTGATGGAAAAATGGGGAGAAAATATGTATATATTCAGAAAATACTGGACTGGTATGAGAACAATGAACCCCCTACTGGTGCCAGGCACTATTTGGGACACTTTTATATTTATTAATAAGGGAGCTACTATTTATTGCCCTGTTCCAGCAGCAGAACAGATGCTCTGTGTGTTTTACCGCTTGTCCCCTAGGAGGTACGAAAATGCCTCGCTGTTAGTCAGCGAGAGGCAGGATGCCTAATTCTTAGCTCTTCAGCCAGATCGCCTGGGTTGAAATCTCAGTTCTGTTGCTCCTTAACTGTATAGTCATGGGAAAGTTACTTACTCTCTTTATGCCTAAGTTTCCTTCTTTGTAAAATTGGGATAATAATAATATTGTTATTATCATGAAGTTATTATGAGGCTTAAACAAGATAATCCCTGGAAGCCTTCTGAACATTGCCCATCATGTAATGAGTGCTCATAAATGTCAGCTCTGTTTAGGAAATTACTTATGAAACAAATTATCTCTGTCTTTGCAGCGATATTTGATATAATTTTCAAAACTTACCTTTTATGGTAAAAAATAATCCAAAACTGATCTTAGATTAGAGTGAGTATAAATATTAATATCTACTACCTGTAAATATAGAGAAAAGCGGATAAGTATGTCAAATACCATAACTGCATATATGTATTATGAAAACACTCCTGAATTCAGTCTAAATATTGAAAGTAGAGCGAGGTGCAATATAATTTTATCTCTGGCAGGAAAATGTTGAGGTTTCAAGCTATGAGAAGATTTTGAAACATGACTCCTTTTCTGGCAACACTTAAGAGTTGATGCTTAAACCTCATTCTATTATATGGAATGCATAATCTTCTCTTTGGGGACTAGTACAAATTGCAGCAATTGAAAAGGAAAGTGTGTATTAACATGCTCTTTGTTATCTTTTTATCAAGTGTAACAGTATACTGCCAGCAAGCTTCATTGCACTGACTGCAGGTGTTGCCAAATGTAAACAAAGTCATGAATATAACAAATCTACGTTTCTCACTATTTTCTTTCCTCCCTCTCCTCACTAGAATGGGTATATGAAGTCTTAAAAGTTCTGGGATTGTGATACCAAATCTGTTTTATTAGCATTCTTAAGGTAACAAGTTAAATTTGACTTTAATGATAATGATAGTTTATCGTGTTGTGTTAATGAAAGAAGAAGACAAACCAAGGGTCAGTATTTTGGGTGAGTGATTTTATTTGCTCAAATAAGCAAATAAATGGACTTCTAATATTTCAAATAACCCTAGAGCTCTCCTCTTGACAGAGAATAGAAAAAATTAAATCTTA